AGATGTAGGGATGCCTATTATGTCTCTAATGTCCCCTTACCCTTTTCCTCCCCTTTTGATATTTTTGTATCCCAATATCCGTATTTCACCAAAATTCACCAAAAATATCAATAAAATGTTAAGTATATAAAAAAAGGTATTTAAATCTTCATAGTATCTTCTTCTGTGTTTTGTAAGGAGTCCTCACAGAAAAGATACTTGCATTGAGGGGAGGTTTGCCTGGACACATCCAGCACCATGACCACCAAAGTGTACTAGGAACTTGGAGTGATCCTTTAAATTTTTGAACTTTTGAGTACTGTCTGATTCCTCATTGTACTTGTTTCCTGAAATCCTGAACTCCTTTTCCTGCCTTGCAGGTTTGGTATGCGTTTCACCACTAGATGTGGTTTCCTCAGCCGGATCAGCGTTGTTTTTGGTGAAATACGGGTATTGGGATACAAAAATAAGAAAAGGGGAGGGAAAGGGTAAGGGGACATTAGAGACATAATAGGCATCACTACATCTGAAATGTGGGGGTGGGGAGTGGAGCTTAGCGGCACACCGGAGCGGTTGCAATTTACAGCAGCTCCGACGGACGGGACAAAATATGGCTAATAACAGCCGAAACCCGACGAACCTGTGCAAACATAGAGCGGGACCCACCTCAGAGCCCACGAAGGAGCTGACAGATGCCGTTCTTTCAAGCCCCTGGCACGAAATGCCACAAAAGGGGCTCTACGTCCTACTAAACGGGCACCCAAATATGAGACATAGCCGGCGAACTAGCAGCGTGGCCGGAGACCCGCATACATCAACAAGCCTGCCCAGACTCCTAGTCACATCAGAAGATGGGGCGGAGGTCCCAGAAACCAGCGCAGCAAACACTCCAGACACAGAGGGACATAGGCACAATGCTGCAAACTCCAAGGTCACAGGCCCAGACCTCACCTATAAGGTCAGTGGAATTAGCTATCTCACACAGCCCAACACCAACCACAGCACATAGGGAGACTCCCCAGACCAGTGGGATAGGGGCCCCAGCAACTAAACAAGACATCCAAGAAATGCTAGCAGGGCTACAACAAAACCTCCAACAAATGTGGCAGGCTGACCTTAGGGGCCATGCGGCTGAAGTCCAAACAGTCACAGCTTGTACCCAGGCCACGGAGGAAGAAGTGCAAGCCCTGCAATGAGGACTGACTGACCTGCGTGACACTGTGCAACAAATGCAAGCCTCACACACCTCACTCACCAGGCAAGTCACACTGCTAGACGACAGGGGGAGAAGAAAGAACGTAAAACTCAGGGGGGTTCCAGAATCAATACCCCTGGACGAACTGCCACACTTCATATGGTGCCTTGTAGTATCACTGTTGCCCTCACGACAAGCCAAACATTTTAACTTCGATGGAGTATACCAGATTGCCAAATCACCGAAAGCCCCACAAGAGGCTCCCCGCGACATTATCTTAAGGTGCCAGACACTAACAGACAAAATAGCCCTAATGGCCGCCATTAAGGTGAAATCACCATACGACTTCGAACAGTGCCGTGTTACCTTCTTCTGGGACCTAAGCATGTCCACACTGTTATGGCGCAAAAGCCTGCAACCAATCACCACCTCTCTCTAGACGGCCGGACTGACATACCGACGGGCAACCCCCAGAACACTATGGGTCACCAAGGACGACAAAACCTATAAGATCTCTGACCCAGAAGAGGGTCCAGCACTGCTCAACACTCTGGGACTCCCCACCAGTGTCAAAGGACTACCCACCACTAGACCTAGGACTCTGGCCAACACACCACCCTCACCTGGTGGAGCAAACGTGGGCCCGGAGACCTGAAAGAGGCTTGCACACGAACACGGCAATGCCGACACCTGTCTCACACTTGTTGCTTGATGTTTGTTTTGCTCCTTATGTTTAATGTTTACAACAAAAATAACCGACATGACAACCTGAGCTCACTCAGACGCGACAAGACGCAAAACCCACGGTAACACACGACAGACTATACTGATTCCCCCCGCCTCGGGGCCCTTAAGGGACACACCAATTAGCACACGAGCAGACATAGACCAAGACTAACCCAGACTACTGCCAGACCACGCTCACCCTACTAGACCAACAGTAGTAGACCTACATTAACTGGACATTTGTCCACACACAGGGTCACAGACTCTAACTGACCTGAGTACAGACACAAACCCAGGCACCAACCAAAGCAGCAGAGTATCCCTACCTACACTCACAACACTAAACGACCAATTTACGCGAAGACGCATGGGAGGGCAATACTCTCAAAACTCCATGGATAGGCTACCCTAAGTAGCGCCACACTACACTCACACCATACTAAGCACTCAGTACATACAGATGGACAAACCCTTATAACTGCCTAGCCCTCTCAAAATGTGCAAATGTCATAACAACCACACGTGAATATTACCTCTCTACCTACACCACGAAATGTGATCATAGGATATGACACAAATGTTGTAATTACCCTATTTGCACAAAAACAAAATAAAGAATTTAAAGAAATGTGGGGGTGGCGTCTTGCACGGTGGGGTGTATGGGATCCAGGAGCTAACAGGATACAGACACTGATTAGAGATCAGCAGGAGATCAACGTACTTAGTGACCTCTGACACCTCTGGACCGTAGCAGTGTTCGCCGCTCAGAGTGAGGTCTGTAGCTGGAACACACGCCATCCTCACAGGCAGCCGGTTCCCAGAGGGTAAACATCTACTACAGAATCCATATCCATCCTAACCGGATTTGCAGGTTTACTGTTACTTTTTATCTCCTTTTTGCTGACCACATTCTTGTGAACTGTTCCAGATCATTATTTTATTACTTTTTAATTTTTATGTTTAATAAACTGTTTTTTATCTATCCAGTTTTTATTCTGTTTTGTTCAAGTGGTTTTAAGCGGTGCATTATATGTACTGCATTGCAGTAAGCAGTTCCATATACTGTTCTACTATCATCCACCTTGTCCTCATATCTTTATTATAAAAGTATATAATTTGGTGTTTGTATCACCAGTCCTGTATTATTACAGAGATTAGGATACTCACACCATATATAACTGTTGCACTTTATATTCATCAAGTACATATGTATACATTTTTTAAGACAATTTCTAAGACTCTTTCAAGTTAACAGTAGCATTTAAAGATACAGAAACCATTTATTATATATTCCATATATACTTCATTTATATCACTTATTCTCATCTAGTTTGATACTAGATGATACTAGTTGATACTGCCCACATTTATATATATTGTACAACATCTTTATTAGTAAATGTATTGTATCCATCTGAATTTTCTAGACAGGCTAGCTCCTGGATCCCATGCACTTCATTGTGTAGGACATTACTTTTACATATTCCAATGACTGCTTAGATTTTAAAATTAAACACAAAATGTTCCCTCCATAAAAAGATTCAGAAACAAATCATACACATGATAGTATATTAGTAGAGTAATCATATTTAGCGCACTGATAGGATGAGATTATTTTTATGCTCTCTGATTTTAACATGTTAGTGACTAAGCCCCTAGACTAACAAGTTAAGTTCTGTTCAATGTATAGAGGGAGTTGGTTGTATACAAGTTTGACTTGATATCTATTTTCCTATCTCTAACCTAGTAACAGCAGTAATGTCCTACTTAAACACCCCTCTTACTGCTGATCTGCCCAGTGACAGCAGGAAAGTCCAAACTCCTCACCCACCTTTTACTACCCTCTCTATACATTAAGACCAGGTGCAACTATCTGATTGGATAAAGAATAAAAGCATGCTGTGTTAAAGAACACAATATGACCTGTGATATGCAATTAAATGTTTGGAGAAGTGACTGGGAACTTCTGTGTCTGTGTCTGTGTCAGTTCAAGTTGGCCTCTTCCCAGCGCTGCAAAGAGATTGGAGGACAAACAATAGATTGCTAAATTACATAGAAGTCCATGGCAAAGAAGGGATCAATTATTTAAAGAGGTCTCATTTTATTCTTATACGTACCTTCCTATAGAGAGAAAGCAGGGTTTAATCAGGAGAAGGTCTGATTGTGCGAAGTTGCTGGATATTGGCAGGACCTGGAACACGGGTTGGTGGACCTGGAATCACATGAGGTGATGGCTGTGGATAAATAGTACAACAATGGGCATCAGGATCTCGTCACGGTATCTCTGTGCATTCAAAATGCCATCAATAAAACGCACCTGTGTTCGTTGTCCATAACATACGCCTGCCCATACCATAACCTACCCGCCACCATGGGCTACTCGATGATACACTTAAATAAGTTTCACAATTTATTATGATAAAAAAACAAAACAAAAGGATAAACCTCAAATAAATAAAATAAACTAGGTTGCACTCAGAAGCTTGTGTTTGATTGTAGGCACATTGAATGATTAAAGATGACTGAAAAATCCTAAGACACAAAAATGAGCATGCAGAAGAGAGTAAAACAGTCAGTGTGGTTATGAAGTCATCCAATCTCCCATCAGTTGGATGACTTCATATTCCCTGAGGAAGTCTGGGCAACGAATGGACGAAACGCATAAGGTTGAGCTGCAAAAGAGAGTTTATTTTATTTATTTGATGTTTATCTTTTTTTTTTTTATCATGATAAATTGTGGAACTTATTTAAGTGGTGCTATCGTTTATCCGGTGGAGTTGACCTATGGAGTCCAGCCAGGGAAAACACCTTCTGTGATTTGATATGCCTTGATACCACCTTAGTTGTGTAAGTGCAAATCATTAAAGTGCTAAGTGGATTTTATTACAGTCTACACTTATTTTTTTACTCTCTTCGGCATGCTTATTTTTGTGTCTGATGATTTTCCAGTCATCTTTAATCATTTGATATGCCTACAATCAAACACAAGCTTGTGACTGCAACCTAAAGCGCACTATTTAAAGGTGTATGAGCTATACTACTCTATGAGTTTTTTGTTTCATTTTCTTCCACTGTAGATATTTTCTGCTTTTGTGTACATTTGAGGACCAGGAGGAGGCCTGAGATATTTTTCTACAGTTTGGAAGATTATTATATTAGGTAAACCATTTTTTAAGGGTTTATCGTCACATTTATGTGTTATTCCGCTTCTTATGTAAGGGTGTTGTATTTTGTATCACGATCTTGGAGGTGAAGATGCTGCATGTGGAGGTCCTAGGCTGGTGTGGTTACATGTGGTCTGCGGTTGTGAGACCGATTGGATGTACTGCCAAATTCTCTGAAACGCCTCTTTGGAGACGACTTATGGTAGAGAAAAGAATATTCTAATCACGGCAACAGCTGTGGTGGACATTCATGCAGTCAGCATGCCAATTGCAAGCTCCCTCAAAACTTGCAACATCTGTGGCATTGTGCTGTGTAATAAAACTGCACATTTTAGAGTGACCTTTTATTATGGCCAGCAGTCTAATCAGAATCTTGATATGCCACACCTGTGAGGTGGATGGAAAATCTCGGCAAAAGAGAAGTGCTCACTAACACAGATT